TTAAGGTCTTAGTTTTCATGTTATTCATTTATATCTTCTGTGTGTGTGTGTGTGTGTGTGTGTGTGTGTGTGTGTGTGTGTGTGTGTGTGTGTGTCCGGGGGAGTGAAAAACAGAAGGGTGTGTTATGGAGACTGTTGTAGAGTAATTGGTGTAGAACAGGTGGCGCGCTGTTGACACTGGAAAAAAATATGTGAAAAATGTGCTGCTGCCATGCAATCACAAAAGGAAAAGGTTGGCGGTTGACTTAGACATTTAATCACCGTGCTGGGTGATAAGTAGTGGATCAAAGGGAGGCACGAAAAAAGCCTAGAACAAGGAGAGTCATCTACGTCTCTTCAGAGGAATTCCTCCATGGTGGAGTCAGGCCAAGGCACTGACAGAAATGCTAGCTGGTTATTATGACACTGGCCTCGGAGTACAGAGATGTAAGTAAACAGGAAAGCAGAAGGTTTAGGATCTCAGAAGGTTCCTCGGGTCTGAATGAGAGTCCTCTCATGCTGTTTTCCGGATTCAGCATTTTCTTGTTCTTCTCCTGGCTCAGACTCCTCTTTTTCATACCAAGCTCCACCTAAAGGTGCACACTGTGGCACTGTAACAGGATTCTCACTATAGGGGATACAATTAATAGTATAAAAAAGATCAGAGCGCTGATGAAAATTACTTGTGAGAAGAGCATGTGTATTGTTTGTGTGCGGATGAAGACGGCGGTAGGATGTTTGATCGGCACCAAAAAAGCACCTGAGCTGAACACACTGGAAGAAAGTTTCTCTTAAAGTTTAGAGGTGAATTCAATCAGAACTTTATGCATCACTTAAAAATTAAAACATTTATAAATCTCCTTAAAAAAAATAACCTGAGGCGGACGCAGGTTAACGGCTGGCATTAAAGCTCATTATCCTCTCAGAGCACATTACGCACCGGAGAGGGATCCAGTTACCGGCTTCGCCCACACCGGAGCCACGCGATTCAGGTCCTCCTCATTTTAAAAAGAGCTGCTACCCTGCAATTCCCTCCAGAGCTTCAAAGAGTAGATAAAGTATCTCTCGTGTCAGTGGACTGACTTTTTGCACCTTTTCCGTCAGTGGAAGAACTGAACTAGAGTGCACGCCAATACGCGACTTTGCCAGTCTGGTGCTGCTGTTGCTGATGGTGGTGGGCTGAACCGAGAATCATCAAGTTTCCATTTTTCTTTTAGTGTATTTGCATCCTTCAGTGTCTCCGTCTTTGATCAGAAATGCCACCGGACCACATGGGAGCATTTCGCGCATCGGTTTTACTGACTTCTGTGATAATCTGCAATAACGTGCTGTGTCCCGTCCTCGGCTATCTCTACAACAACCGCTACGCAGGGTGAGTGAAATGCCCCCCCCCTCATCATTCATTTCTGAGGCTACTGGGATCCCTATTCACGTAAACACTGAGAGGGAGACAGAAGTGTTTAGAGTGAAGGAAAGGCGCACTTTGACAAGTCGTCTGCAGACACTACCATTTATCTTACGAGAGACTGAACAAAGACAGCCTTTGTGCTCGCCATCTCCACAATCCATGTTTCCCGTTTGAGACATAATACCATGTTTAAGTTTGCTCTAAGTTTTTCCCAGAGTGTTCTTGTTGACTGATGGCATTTGTATAAGACTGTCTGTTGTGTCCAGATTACTCAAAATACAGCACAGATGACAGTGGGGATTCTTGAAGCTGCACTGGCTTTCAGTGCAATGTTTTTCTAGTACTAATGCTATGAGGCTTGTTTTTTTTAATCAAAGGTCTTGGTTTATCAGTCTGTCTGCAGGTTCATGTGACTGAATGCAGGCAAAGCACCCCATCGCCTAAATTACTAAAATCACTGTTTGACCCCAGATTTAAAATTTGGGGAGCACTTGGACAACGAGATATTTCCTCTAGGGCTTATGTTTTGGTATCATATAGAAAAGGGAGGTTATCACAGCTGGAAGCCTCTTCTTCCAAACTTTTCATTTAATATCATGTAATTCATCAACAGAGCATTATCAGACACTGGAATTTGGATTCTCCAAATGGAGGAAGGCTCAGGGTAGTTTGTTTAAATATAAAATACTACTGTGAGCTTTTCGGTTTAAGGGCCTGAGCGTCTTAAAAACAAATTGCTTCCATCCCAGAAAGGGTTCTGCTGTGAGAATCAACAGACTGACAACTTAAGGACAGCTTTAACCCCGTAGCTGGTAGAAACAAAGCAAAATGTCTTTGCCAGTCCAGCTTTGTAACAAAAACAGGCTGTCGGCTTTGAGAATCATTAAAACATGAAGGAATGATTTGGCCTAAAAAGTATTAGGATGCTAAAGGCTGTCTTTGGTACAGTAATATAAGCATGGCGTAAACAAAGTCCTGTGAACCTTCTTCTAAACGCATGTTACTCTGATGTTTCAGGAACTGTGTTTCAGTATGTCTTCTGTCATTGCTCTTTTCGTGGAAACGTGCTGGGTTTCTTTTTCTTTTTTTTAGCAGCGTGAAATGGGGCAGTCACTCATATGGGACACCCAGGCGCCTTTGTTGCTCAGACCTTTAGAATGGCCTACTGCCACCTTTGTTTAGGGGGGGCCCAACTTCCTGTGTGACAAACCATTAAAAGACTTTTGAAAGAAGTGAAAGACGAAGATGCTCAAAGAGAAGGTGGAAAAGTGCGAAAACCAGGCAAACAGACAGGTTTCTCTGCAGATAAAATAAAGCCTATCGTAAAGAGAATGTAATGAAAATACTGCCGGCATGTTAACTTTAAGGTAAAGTGATCTGCAGATTTAATAGCAACATGATGTAAGATTCACATTGAGGAAAAAGAGAGCCTTTGTTTTGCTGCCAGGCATAAAAACGTGGTTTGCAGACTGGGTTAGGAGCACTCACAGGGTTCGCGGGGTTACAGTTTTTTATTCCATTATCTGTGAACATGTCAAGAATTGTATGGGGGTGTAATGATTGCTGTCTCAGTGGTGTAATTTTTAACTTTTTTGCAGTCAAATGTATTCTTGTTTCTTAAGTTCACTCGGGTTTTGTTTTAAATCTCACTGAGTCCATTAATTCTAGTAAGATAAATCTCATTGTTAAACATCTATCTGTAGTTTTATCTGTGTGGATTTATCTAAAATTACACAACTGGAAAAAGGGTTTAACTATATTTTTAAAAGTAGGCAAATGCATTAAACTAATTGCTACTTCTAATTTAGAAACAAAAGATCATTGTACTATGCTTAAATGGTAAATACATGACATCAGTCCATATTTACAAGATGTTCTGATTTGCAGTATGAAAATGTGAAGCAGCTGCCGCTGCTACTTTATGAGGGCTGCCAGGGACTCGTTCCAGGTGCAACCTGCAGAGCTGGAAACGATGAAATATAATCCTTTAATGACACCTCAGACAGATTGTTTGGCTGGGGTCTGATCCTTGTTATCTATACTGAAAAAGGACCCACCCATTTCGCCCCATCTAAAATCTATGCTGCTTTTAGAAGTGTCTTCTTCTATTGGCACAAAAGCCAGTTTCATTACCTGACACAATGGCCCAGATGTTTTTTAAATGATGTGTTTTTTCCAAAACAAAAAAAATGGATCAAAGACCTGTTACAGAGCCATAAAAAAACTTTAGGATACTTTTAAAAAAGTGCTTACAAAAGCTTTTTTCTTCACAGTGATAAGGTCTTCAAGATCACGCCGAGTAATGATGAGGAGGTCCGAACCCTAAAAGAAATTCTCGCACACATGAAGGTTGGCACTTTATTTTTTTTCATGTACACCTTTTATATCCATTCCTAGGTGCTATATATTTATGTGATGTGATACTTTTAACATGTTAAAAGTTTAATATCTCTTATTATTCAGCCCACATGAATGTCTGACAGCTGAACATCGGCCACAGACAAGCAGTTAGCCCCGATGCCGGTGGGATGGTGGGGCGACAAGGCGATGTGACAGTTTCAGTGAGGCAGAAAGCAATCGAGTGTGTTCATCTGTCACAGTCAGGACACATTTGCAATCTGAGAGACTGAGATACTGTCAGCGAGACACTCGGCAATCATTTTTAATATGAAACACCAAAAGAAAATTGGATGAAATACAAAGGAGTTTGTCATATTGGGTCAAACGCCTGGATGTCTCACAGCTTAAGAACTAAATGAACATGTGTTTCAAAGATACTGAAATTACAGGGGGGAACCCCCGCAGGACACAACAGCCCTTGCTTCTTTTCCCATATTCATTTGGAAGTAATTACCCATCAGCCTCAGAAACAGCATGGCCTTCATTATACATTGTTTTAGTTTGCTAATGCAAAGCTAAATTGTTTGCAAATTCATAATTCATATTAGGACTCTCTATTTTGTAAGATTAAGACTTACAAAGAAAAATCCAGTGATCTAGTCATCCTCTGTGAGCAGGAACATAAAGCGGATCTATTATCCTTTTCCTTATTTTCTGGAATATACGGCATATGGCTTGTTAGAATGGTGGATCTTCATATTAAATATGGTTTCAAATAATGAGGTCAAAGTATTTGTAAGTAATATGTGAGCCAAATGTTCAGTTTCATCAGTTTTCTCTTTTGTCTCTCGCTGATGTCAGTGAGAGTGGGTGTCGTTAATACGGCCATCCTCGGGCACAGTTAGTGAGAGAAGTTAGTTTACAGCGAGAAGGCAGGGAGCTTGTTTCAGACAGTGGATCAACTGCATCAAAAGGTCAAAAATACACTTAAATTTAAGACTAAAAACGGGAGACTGGGTGCACCTTTTTCCCATGGCTAATTATGTTCATATATTCACAGATGTACAATCTGAGGGTTATTTTGTTTGACAGGTTTGCTATTACAGAATAATTACCTTGAAAGTCTGCTTGTAGAAATAATAACTATAGAGTTCATTTAAAAAAATCGAGCCTTGGTGGTTCTAAAATCCTGGTTTTCAGACAGTGTGGTCAGTTTTAGCTTTCTTTGGTATACCATTCACCGCAAGTGGTCCAGGAACGCCAGGCCAGTGTGGCCCAAAACAGAAAAAGGATTGAAGAGAGACAAAAAACCAGAGAAGTACTTAGTAAATGCTTTTTGAGTTGTAGGGAGCGACACTAAGAGAGAGCCAGGCTCCTGGTCGGGCCTCAGTTTTCTGTATGAATGGGCAGCGGACAGGGTGCTTCAAGGCCACCCAACCAAAGCAGCAGCAGCCACTGTTTGGACAGCTGTGGACATGTGTTTTCAGTAGCTTGTTCACACTGCCATGCCTCCAGTGTCAAGTCAAACTTTTCATTTTCAGGGTAGGCATGAGGTCGAATAGACTTCAGGGTGCAGGTGAGTCAAAAATCGGACGCATCACCGACAAAATAGCATCATTTTTTAGAGATCTCCTTTTACCTGGGCTCCTCATTTTGGAAAAAGCTTGGCAGTGTCTTCAACTAAGGATTTCTTTCCTCTCTAAAATGTTAAAAAAAAACATATATATATATATATAAAAAAGTCAAGAACAAGCTCTTAAAGTTAATTCTCTCATATTGCTTTTGTCCTCTGACCAACTATTTAAAGCTCGAGAACATTTAGTTTATTTTTACATAAGAAAAAGCTGGAAAACCTTTAGAACTGAGGAGATGGAAATGGGTATTACACTTACGATAGCTTTGCATGAAAACACGGGCTTTACGTGGTCACTGATAGTTTTCCTTTCAAGCAACGGATAGAGTAAACCGCTAACAGTTCCAGCTGTAACAGCCGAGATTAAACTGAGATAATCAGAAACATTCAGGGCCTTTATGGGAGCTACAAAAAAGAATTAGCTTCGGTTTCTTTTGGGGCTCATGTTAGATTTGTTTGAGACATCCACAGGCTAATATGAAACTGATATTCCTGTCATATTGAAATAATTTCATATGTTTGTAGAGAACTTCCAGCGTTTTCCTATAGATGACATCATCATAAGTGGAAAATCTCTTTTCCACAGCAGGAGAGACAGTCTTTGTTAACGGGCTGTTGCTGAATTTGAGAATAAAACTGTCACAATCCATGTGGGCCTTACAGGTTTTCAGAATAAATATTGATTTGCTCCAGGTATGACTGACCTCCAAACAGATTTAATGCATTTAAGATGCTATAGCTTGTCTAATTCAGCTTAGACAGCCCCGTTAGCACTGTTGGCATTCTTATATTAAATCTACCTTGGCCAACTTGATTTCATTTACTTGATTTCACCTCATCTGGCCTAAGGGGAGCCAGCTCCTTTTTTATTGAACCGTAACTTTTTCTTTCTTGTTCTGCCCGTGTCTGTGCTACATCAACCAAAACAAAACAAATCCAATTTATGGCTACGCTGCGAATAAACAATCAAGAGATAAAAGATTTATAAGGCAGACGAAGAATGCCTCTTTGAGGCACATAAATACAGCTATAAAATGTTAACTTAAGGAATTGTATTATCTGATCAGGGACATTTGAGTGCCTTCTGGCATATGTGTTTTGGATTTGTTTTGCTAAAAGACGAGCGGTGCTGAAACATTTGGGGTGCTTAACCATTTGGAAACACCATAAAAGTGCAGGAATAGAGAGGGGTTCGCACTCAGGGGCACCATGCATTCCAGCTGAGGGTATTTGACCCTTCTGGCTCTAAACGTAGTTAAATTATTCTGGTATGCATTCTGTAAAGCATTAAACCAATTGACACATTAACAAGCGTGTGCATGTTTTGCCCCCATGCAGAAAATGAAAGCCAGCTGAGGGCGTACACATCAGCAAACATAGAAACAGCAATCTCTTTACAGTGACTGCAGTGCTTTTACTGGTAGATCAGTTGCTTCCTGTTTGTTTTAAATCCTTTTAAATTCTCGTCTTCTCCGCTTTTTTCCACTGTTTTACTGCTATAGTTACTATGTGGTTTATTATTTGTTTATTTGGTTGGCAAGGATATCTGGCTGTTAGGACTCTGGCTATCACATCGGGATAAGTACTGAAAGACCTTGTTATCAAAGATATTTGAGGTCATACAGTAGAGGAGAAAGCCAAGTGAGGTTTATTTACTCTGGATTGTGCATCAGTTTTTGCTCCATTGAATCATTCCCCAAGTTTGCTTGATCAGGGAAGTAGGAATGGTTCCCTGTTTGGGTCTTAATAAAACTGTGTGTGTGTGTGCTTGCATTTGATAGAAAGTGTTTAAAGGTGTAGAATAAAGTATGAATGAGTGAATATGGTTTGCAGTAAAGTGCTTTGAATGATTAGTTAGGTTAGAAGAGCACAATATTATGAAGCCTGAATGTGGTCCAATATATTGATTGATTAGTTTGTCCAGCACGTGTTTGGACCACCACAAACACAACAACTAGCTGATAGTCCTGAGCATAAATGAGTAATCCACGAGTTGTTGGGAAAGTAGAACAAGACTGCATTGTCATAGTATCTCAGTAAGGACTCATAAATATTTACACACAACAAATGTCAGGAAAATCTGTTTATGTTATGAGTATAACCCCTGACATATCCGACCTTTTAATCACCAAATATCGACATTGGTATCGGTCTTAAAAATCCTAAAGCTGTGCTGTGTAAGTGCAAGTCCAGTTTCTGGTGAGTTTCTTTGGGTAGACGGCATTACACACACACAAACTAAAAAATATTTGTTTTTATCAAAGAAATTTAATTAATCCCATTAAAGTTGGGTGATAACAACCGTGATAGCCGACATACAGTATGCTCAACTATAGCGACCAGTCAGCTAACAGAGTTTGTTCACTCTTTAGCACTCCTGGCACCTTTCATGGGAAAGTTTCTATCGATAAGCAGGGCTAGTGCATGGAAAATTTCATGAATTAAATTTGATACTTTTTAAGATAAAACTGTCATTTCAGTGAGGCTGTTTTTGCCCAAGAACACTTTCACAGTGTAAGAACGTTGCTGGGTGTTTCTGTCACTGTAACCCTAATATGTTCACTGTGTTCCATTAGGTGGATTTCTGGCAGCCCAACAGTGCTTCTCTAATCTGTCACAATGCCACAGTGGATGTCCACGTGAAACGTAACGACACGCAAGGTTTACATGCACGCTTAAAGCGGGAAAATATTGATTATCAGTAAGTATAAAAGCATGGACACTCATATTTACTCTCATGCATGCACCCTTTGACACATCTGTTATCCAAAGGTTGTTGTATTTACTCAGCTTTCTCATAACAGAATATGTGATTTGCACATGCAGAGTAGGCCATAGTTTGCACGCAAAGGCCCTCATATTTCCACAAAGCTGGGACACACACACGTACATCAGAGACACTCTATCAATCTGCTCCAAAAAGCAACGCTTTCATCTCTCGACACCATCCCTCATCAAAATTAGCGCTGAAATGATGGAGTTTTATCAAAGCAGCCACAGCTAGAAAAAATTCCATTGTCATCTCAGTCCTCGGGGAGGAATTGAAGTGCAGAGGAGAATTTTTTTTTCCACTGTCTGTTGACTGATTGAGGATTTTTCACAAAATGGTTTACGCGGCGGGGGGGACAGGCTTTGGTGGGTGGTTAGGGGTTTCATTTTGTTCATCTCAGTATAGTCACAGGATAATGATCCAATTTTTAGCATCATTAAAGGAGTTGTGGATAGAAACTGTTATAGAAGGACATTATGAGGAAATGTATTTTAGTACGTACCTGCTATAAAAAAAGCTTTGAAAAAGATCACATGATGTGCTTTAGACTCAGGTGGGAGGTGAAGAAGGATCGTATGTGTACAGGTAATGATGCTTATAACTGTGGTTTAACCTCAATTACACCATATTTCGTAATTCATAAAGAGTATAGCATAACTGCTATGATTCTTCCTACCAGCAGGGAGATTGATGAGGTGGAAAACTTGTTTAGATGTTGCAAGAGATGAGAGAGGGTGACCTTAATTATATGCATGGTCTCATCAATGAGTCAACAATAAAACCAGGAGTCCTGATTTACTGCCTCATCCCAGCACCCCCAAATACCTGTGTGCTTCATTCACAGCGGTAGTGCAGTCAACAGGGACACAATTTATCAGGTATTTGTATATACAAAGATATTATCTCTACAGGCAACAACAGATGAGAGAAGCAAAATTAAAAGACAAACTCATACAGACTCATATCCACAACCATGTCGGTTGTGGATATGTAAGGTTAGTTTAGTCTAGAAGAAATAACTGAAATTATACGATGCATTTCAAAATGTACAACCCCAATTTGAAAAAAACATGCAGACATGTAAAATGTAAATAAAAACTGAATGTAATTTACAAATCTGGTAAACACATATTTTATTCACAATAAAAACAGAAAAGATGTCAAATATTTAAACTCAAATGCACTATTTTAAGAAACAGTAAGGTCATTTTGAGTTTGATGACAGCAACACATTTCAAAAAGTTGGGACAGGGCCATGTTTGCCACTTTGAAGCACCCCCTTTTCTTTTAATAGCTGTCTGTAAATGTGGGGGACTGTGGGAACTGATGAGACCAGCTGCTGGACTTTGGGGAGACAAATGTTGTCCCATTGCTGTCTCATATGAGATCCTTGGATTCTAGCTGCTCAACAGTCTTCTGTCGTCTTTGTTGTATTTTTCATTTCGTGACGTGTTAGATGTTTACAGTCAGTAAATGGTCTGGACTGCAGGTAAGATGCAGTGTGCAATTTATCATTGTAGATCTATCATCACTATAAGATAAGATAAGATTAGACTTTATTGATCCCACGACGGGGAAATTTTTTGCGTTACCTCAGCTCAGGTACAGATATCAGACGGAAAAATATCAGAAGAAAAATACAAATAAAGTACAAATAAAATATAAGTAAGATAATACACTATATACAACGGTAGCATGCACAGTATATGATTATGGATATCTATCTATCTATCTATCTATCTATCTATCTGAGCCCTGAGTAGATGGCAGTGTTTCTGAATCATGTTTACATGTGGCTTGTGTGATAGCGCTTTAACACCCATTTGTGGATGTCACGGGAAACCGTGTGTACAGTGATATCTGGAAGTGTTCCTGATCTCATGCAGTGATTTCCATGACATATTAAGCATGCCTGTTTTTAATGCAGTGCTGCCTGAGAACCTGATATGACAGCGGAGTTAGCTTGGGCTTAGCGGGGAATTAGCTCAAATGGTAGAGCGCTCGCTTAGCATGCGAGAGGTAGCGGGATCGATGCCCGCATTCTCCAGTATCATTTTGGGGTGGCTGTAGCTCAGGAGGTCGAGCAGGTCATCGGACCCCAAATATCCTTGGGCAAGATATTTAACCAGAGTTGCTCTCCGATTCAGCCATCGCAGAGTGAATGGTAGTTAGTAAGCACTTAAAAGCAGAGAAGACCGTGCTTGGGTGAATGTGGCATGTTGTATAGAGCGCTTTGAGTACTCCAGGAGGATAAAAATGCGCTATATAACTATCAGTCCATTTACTATATCATTTTTGGCTTTGTCCTTTACGCACAGAGATTTCTCCAAAATATATGATAATAATTTATCATCAACTGTAGATGATGAGATATTCACAGAGATATTCACTTGTGAGAAACTGCCTCTCTAAGATGGTCTTTTTTGACCCGGTCATATTAACGATGCATTGATAGTTAACCTAAACAAGTGAAATGTCCCTTCACTTGTTTCTTTTTAGCACCGCTGGTTTTGACAGCCTTTTGTTTCCCCCACCAGTCCAACTGTTTTGAGACCTGTTTCTGCCATCAAATTAAAATGATCTTATTTTCTTTTAATTAAAATTGCATTTTATCAATAGAATATTTTGTATTTTTTCTGTGTTCTATTGTGAATAAATGTGGGTTTATAAGATTTACTAAGCATTGCATTCTGTTTACATGGCATTCCAACTTTTTTGGAATTGGGGCTTCTAAACTTTTGAGCTGAGCTCTGAACTTCTCCCATTTTACAGAATTGCAATCTCTAAATCGCAGCCTCCTATTTGGACTGAATTTGGATGGAAATTTAAAGTGTAGTGACTCATCACTTACAGTAAAATGCTCCCCAGTGCTTCATGATATGAATCTCCACACATTAGCTGCACAATGAGACGTAAGGCAGCTCTGTTTCTGTATTCTTTAGATTACATTACTTGTGTTTCCCTTTGGCTAGTTCACACCCTCCTCTATCTTTGTACTAACTGTCTAATAAACCATACACCATACAGTCAGAGTACCAAATGTGCCGATGGGAAACATGCTACAGTGGTTATAATGTGTACCATGTTTGTCTGCTTCACTCTCTTTCATTCACGTAGGGTATTTATCTCCAATCTACAGAAGGAAATTGAAAAGCAGACGGGATATCGCTCCTCTCGCAAGCGGAGGTCAGAGGCTCAGTATGACTACGAGGTTTACCACTCTCTGGAAGAGGTAGACATGAAGCCCAACATCTACCTACCTATCTCTCATTCCCCTCTGCTCTCTAATCTATTGCACCCACAAGGTAAACAGAAAACCTCTCTAAGGGTGCTTTCTTTCAATTACTCAGTTCCACATGTGTCTTTCCCACGGCCTCGCGCTTTCACACACCGAGACGTGCGCTCCACTTCAGACACTTCACAGCTTTAGAGTGTTTATTTTCCCAGGTTGATCAGTCTCCTGGTTTGCAAATCTTTCAAGCCCTATGAAACAGCATAGTTCAGAGGACAAATCTTTTGTCCTTTGAGCTTTTATCCTCTCCCTCACTGTACAACACACGTTTACAAAGCACACAGATGTGCAATAATGCATAGCAATTACTTCTGAAAATTATGTAAACAAGTCTTTTAAGATCCACTTCCCTACGCTATTTCCTGTCCCTCAGATCCAGAGCTGGATGTTTATGATGAACACAACCCACCCCAATCTGGTTGACGTGTTCTCTGTTGGGAAGTCATATGAAGGAAGACCGCTTTATGTGCTTCAGGTAGGAGAGGAGGCACGTTAAAACTAAGAAACACAGTCTTGTCCTAATCTAAAGCTAAAAATGCTCGTGTCCCGTCAGCTAGGAAAGAAACGTCGTCTCCAGAAGAAAGCTGTGTGGATCGACTGTGGTGTTCACGCCAGAGAGTGGATAGGACCTGCCTTCTGCCAGTGGTTTGTCAAAGAGGTGCTTATAAAGTCTGCAGATTGCTTTAAATTTTTACAATTTTCTGTCTTTGATGTATGCGCGAAAAATGCCTTGACAGGAACACAACGTATATCCCGCTGATTGCCTGCTGTATATCATCATTCAGGCTATCTGTGACATATGGTCTCTTCATCAAAGTGCCAACATCTGTTCACTTGTCATTTACAGCTATCCAAATACTTAAGAAAATACTTTACAGCTAAAATGCTGGAAATAACACAGGCATTTACGCAAGTTCCTTTGCACCCTTAAAGTCTCCGTGCTCTCTGAAGTGAGGACGGTACCAGACCAGAGCCAGACATTAACTGCAAGAACATTTAATGGCTCATTTTATAATGCTTAAATGCCAGATGAGTGGGATTTTCAACACGATCCAGCACAATAAGTGCCAGAAAGTAAAGAAAATTAAAGGAAAATCTGTTATCTGTAAAGCTAGAGCGCTGACTTCAAGTGAATTCCAAAGGATTGTTTTGGGTGGTTTTTTTGAGTGATAATGTTACCTGTGAGGTGCATTAAAACCAGCTGTTTTAAAATCCTCTTATTTTGAGGTGTAAATAACTGCTTAAACGTGAGCTAGTAAAAAGTGTATTACACTGAACCTTACCGTTCACAGAACAATGATTTGTTGCACTGACATTCTCCGGTATGATGGTTCAGTTCAAATTTCTAGAAAGGCAAAAGTCAAATACATGACTCTTTCACCTTAAATGGACTCATGATGAACGGAAATGCAAATGTGCTGTGCTGTAGTGACAGAGGGAGGCCACTGGAGGTCAGGGTGCCATCTTTGTTCAAGCCTTAAGCACATTAACCTTGGCCTCAGTCTGGTTAAAAGGCAGGTATAAGCAGCATTAGCCCAGTGCCCAGGTCTCATAGCTCCAATCCTCTTATGCTGTCAGACTCAGTTGTTTGAATGTACAATAGATAATGAGCCTGAATACAATATAAAAAGGATACACTGCTCAGAAATAATTAAAGGGACACTTGATCATCACAGTGTAACATAAAGTCATTTAAATTTCAGGGATATCAATCTATACAGTCAGGCTGCAGAAACCTTTGTGAATCAATTTCAGTTGCTTTCATGCAAATGAAAGTGACAACGAGTGCACCAGAGAGGCAAAAACAAAGACCAGCCCCCAAAAAAGAACGAGTATGCAGGTGGTATTCACAAACTACCTTATCCCTAATGACTGATTTTTCTCCATTCTTGCTTTTTGCTAGCGTCCCTGCCACTAATGGTAGCATGAGACAGTACCTGCAGCCCATTCTGCTTGCACAGGTAACCTGGCTCCTCCAGAATGGCGCATTCGCAAAAGAGGATTAGGGTCACTGGGAAAAAAAAGTGTGGACATCTTTTTTTTTCTCCAGAATTTTGGAAAAGAAAACGCCCCAAAAAGAGAACAAGTTTGCAGGTGGTAGTCACAGACAGGCAAACACAGACAAATTGAGGCATCTCTAAGATGTGCTCACTGTGAGGCTGCTCTGGCAAATGCCAATCAAGCATCCTTATAAGTTTCATGGAGTTTGAATCTCAAAATTTGGTCAGATACATGCATGTGGAAGTCATTTTGTGAGGCGTTGGCAGTGCTCCTCTCGGCCCAAAGGAGCAGTTACTAATCCTGATGCCCTTCCACCGCCCTGTCCAGCTCTCCTGGTATCTTCTCCACATTGAGACTGTGCTGGGAGACACAGCAAATGCTCTTGTGATGGCACGTATGGCCGTTTTGCCCTGAGAGAGCTGGGCTATCAGTGCAACCAAAAGGGGCTGCAAGTACATGCCTCTTCAGTTGAGTATGTTTTATAATTACACTGGACTTACATTATATTATTATTACAGGCTATCAGCTCATACCAATATGACTCTGTGATGACAAGACTACTGAACCAGCTCAACTTCTACATCATGCCTGTCTTTAATGTGGATGGCTATCGTTTCAGCTGGACTACGGTACTGTAGGCTTTTCTGCTGGTCTTTCTATATGTACATTTTTGAGAGGAAGCTTTTCTTAGAGGGGAAGCACATTTTACATATACATTTTATTGCATTTTTTGGATTGCTTGCTAAAAACAAGGCAAAGAAGGGAAGCTGGAAGCTTGTTTTTTCCCACCTACAGATTGTAGAATAATTTCAAAGAAAGAAAAAATGTCTACGTGAAAACAGGAGAAATAATAAGGCAATTTATGTTATTACATGTTATTATGCTGCTTAATTTATGTTTAATTGTCTATATTTTTTGTTGCATGCAGGAAAAATGAACTTGTTCCCATAACTTTTGTTAAGCAATTAACCCACTAGAGCTGAATGAGCTGGATATTTGTGTCACACCGGTTGTTCAGATGCGTTTTACTGCCAGTGGACAAGAACGTGTTTTTTTTTTTTGTTTTGTTTTTTGCCTGCAGGATCGGTTCTGGAGAAAGACACGGTCCAAAAATCACAAGTTCCACTGCAGGGGAGTGGACGCTAACAGAAACTGGAAAGTAAAATGGTGTGGTAGGTAAAATAACACCTGACAAATCTGACTAAGAGTATATATGTGCTCCTATGTGCGTAGGAACAACTACATCCATTTGTTCTCATCTATTCTCTAGAGGGTGAGGACATAGACTGAAAATAGAATAAAGTTTTTTTGTGATGCATACAGACACACAGGAGTGGAAGATTTCTTTATACCTGATGAAGAACATCTCTTCAAGGGAACGCTCGGTCATGAATTCACAGCATTTAGAGTCCTGGCATATGACAGTTTGAGAATATGTGCAAAATATATGATAAAAGTCTGGAAATGGTGTGAGAAATGTACCATAATTAAATGAATTATAGTCTATTTGATGAGTCAGTAATGGACTGCTGTAAAAAGGCATGAAACAGGACAGAGTGAGCCCAAAGATAGTATTAAGTCTGACTGAAATTCATGGTTTTTCATTTGTCTCTGCTATTTATAGATATATGTAAGAAGGACTTTCAAGTGTAAATGTACATCATGATAATTGAGCCTTAGAAAAAGTATCCCTGAAATAAACTTTGAAAATGCCTTTTTTTTCTCCCATAATTTCTAAAGTAACAAACACAGACTTATACTAGTCACCTTAGAAGCCCTTTTTACTACGTAGTTTTAAAAATACGGCTTTAATTAAAACCAGCATGTGTTCAGATGCTTTTCTCTTTACTTTTTTGGGTCAAGGTGAGTGAAATAAGGTCGTCTGTAAAGGATTATAATGTGATCATATTTCAGTCTGTGTCTTTATTAGTTCCCCTTCACGCTGGCATTTGGTTTTCTAGACTTTTCCAGTCTTACTGACCACTCAAAGAGCTTTACACAACAAACCCCATTCATCCATTTACACACATTCACACAGCACTTTATTCTGTGCTCTTAATGCTCTCTAAAGCTCTTTTTTTCCCTCTCACATGGCCACACGTGTGGCTGATTTAGAATCACCTATCAACCTAACACACTTATTTTTGAACTGTGGGAGGAACGCACACACGCTCCACGCAGCAACGCTGCAGGAAAGTTTGTGGCAACAATGCGAACTACTGCTCTACTTCTATTTCTTTACACTTACTGCTTGGTCACTGTTGCTGGATTAAGGATGCCACTTAAAGCATCCTGGTATGATTAGAAGATATGATGACGTGGTTTCATCCTTTCTCCCTTTGCTTCCCCAGATGAAGGTGCCTCTTCTCATCCGTGCGATGACACGTATTGCGGTCCCTTCCCCGAATCTGAACCTGAAGTCAAAGCTGTCGCTAAGTTCCTGCGCAAGCACAAGAAACGCGTGGAAGCATACATATCCATTCATGCCTATGCACAAATGCTGCTTTACCCATATTCCTACAAGTATGCCACAATCCCCAACTTCAACTGTGTGGTAAGATATCTATTGCTTAACACTCAGTGAGTTTTATTTTTTTAATTAATCTGAGAGAGCTGCTTAGTACAGTTCCTTTGATAGTGTTAAAGAAATGCAGTATGTGAGATGAGCTGGCCTTCTGCTTTCATGCATCCAGGAGTCAGCAGCTCACAATGCAGTGACAGCCTTGTACTCTGCCTATGGCGTGAAGTACAGATACGGACCTGCCTCCACAACTCTGTGTGAGTTCCTCGAATCCTTCTAATATTGCGCTCTGGCAATGGAAATGAGCTGTTATTCATTTTAAACTTAGGAGAAAAATGCCAGTTTTCTAATTATACAAGATCAATTTGGAGTTGCCTTGAATGTTGCTCTAGAGAGGAGCGATATCTAAACGCTCACCTGCAGCAACAGCAATGGAACGCTTTAAAATCAAAGCTACTTAACTTAAGGTATTCCTGTTTTAAGCTTCCCTTACCCTTGTCTATTTTGCACTTCCTTACAGATGTCAGCTCAGGAAGCTCTATCGACTGGGCATACAGGAACGGGATCCCCTACGCATTTGCATTTGAGTTGAGGGATACGGGATATTTTGGTTTCCTTCTGCCCGAATCCCTAATAAAGCCAACCTGCACTGAGACTATGAGAGCCGTGAAAGCCATCGCATCAGGAGTGCTGAAGAAGTGCAAGACAAATAGGGAGAAATTTCCATATATATGACCACACCCTCCGACTTACCTATCTTAGCACCTAATATTTTCCTGAGATTTCATATTCCGCTCAGATGTTATCAAGCGACGAACCGACAAAGATCCTCAGAGCGTGAATTTGAATTTGTCGTTCATCTTATTCTCCTTTTTCTGATAACAGCTGATGGTGATGTATTTTTGTGTGCAAACAATCCAAACACTAAAAAAAACCCTTTGACCCTTCCGGGTTTTTTTAGTTATTGCTTTTTTTAAAAAAAGTTTTTTTTTTTCCGTTGAATGTTGTTCTTTGATCACTTGTTATGCTACAGCAGCACTTTTATGGTAAAGATAAAGCTAATATTTTTTATGTCTTCTAAAATGTGCTTTATTAAGTACAAGTTTAAAAAGAACAACATCTTTAAGCCTGTTTTTATTCTGGTTGTTTTTTTTTATTCTAGGAAATATTCTTACCAAGTGCCACTCTAGATTTTCATAAAATGCGTAAAAATCTTTATTACTAATGATAAATATGCTCAAAGTGGTTACAAACGAGCACAAAGCATATGTATAAATTTCAGTGTAGATCTTTTTTTCTCTCTCTTTCATTTGGTTCCGACTAACATTTAGAAAGAATGACCTGTGACCTCAGCAGCTTACTGTGTCATTACTCAGGCATGGAAAAAGACAGTGTCTGAAATGTTTACTTGTGCTTGGCTATGTTCTTATCATGAGATCTTTTTAAGTGTCTGACCTGAATAAACGTTGTTTTATAAAACAAAATATATTTTTTGTAATTGAATTTCTGTCTTCTTTGCCTTTCTGCTTGTCCGCTTTTATAGGTGTACATTTTGTTTTGGCCTATTTTCATTTAGTTTGGCCTCTGGCTGCAACTGACATCATTAGAAATAATTCATTCCTAATGGCTTTCATGCAAACATCTACAAGAAGGTTAAAGGTCACACTTTCAGCCCTCATTTATGTTCTGTCAGTGTTTTGCACACATACTCGTCGCCATGTTTGATGATAAACATCATTGTAGTCAGCAGATGTTTATAATGAATAACGTTCTGACCTTTTTTGATTTAACTAATAGCATTTAATGATCGATTCAAACATCTGCCTCTTATTTTAGTTTCTTCGTAGCCAGTCTGCAGATTCTACAGCTCTGCTCTTATTTATGGATTCAGAAACGGTGGGACTGACACGCGGGACAGTCCGATCCGAGTGAAAGTGAACTTTACCGCCCACAACTGCCAAATCTGTGTTGTCAAATTGCCAGATTTCCTGGATGTGTTGCACTCTGCTAAAGGCTGTAAAATGCAGTGTAGCACCATCTAAATGTGTGGATATGCACAGTTATGTATGAGGTAAGGCAATAAGCAAAATACCATAAAGATTAAATTGACTGGGAAAATTATAACGGAAATTAACCACGGACTAATAAGTTGCCATGTGCAGGGATTTAAAATTGCTCTGCCACCAAAAACGAAGCCTGCGATCACTCCTGAACTGATTTGATACATGAGCAAAACAAAAAGCAGCAACTTGAAATTGTCTTTTTTAAGGTTTTAAGTTCTGCAGAAATCTTTAAAGAAAACTACATTTGCATTCATTCACGAGTAAAATGTATTAACCCCCTCCTCCAAAAAATCAGTGGGTCCTTACAAGGATGACAATCAGATCTATTTACGCTGTATTGTTTCTAAATGTAGAGTTAAGTGGGTCCGTTATGATTAACTGAGAATCCCAAAAGGATCGACTTCAGTTCTGTTTGAGTTAACTGTATCATGATCCCTTCATAGGCTACTACATATTTACTACAATGAAAATGTTTAACAAAATGCCCACAGGGATACCACGCACAGGTTTGCTGTAGGTCATGTGCATGTCAGAGGAAAGTTATGTTTTATTCAACAAAAGACAGCAAACTCTTCTGCTTGGTGGTTTAAGGCACTGTGGCAATATGTTACGCCAGGGTTTTCACACATAGGTTTAATACGACCATGAAGGTTTATATGCAAAGACAGTTTTGCCTCTGTAAACCACCACAGTGAATTTTAAAATCAAACTATTGATATGTGACTGAAGTGCATTAATTACAGACATTCCTATACATTTAATATAAAATTATTTGTACAAACTAATATCATTTTATATATGATGCTTTTAATACTTAATACTCTAATACTTTGCAGCCAATGAGTGACTGAAGCCTGGACCCTTAGTGCTGTGTTTCCTCTCAAGCTGCTGCTTGTTTGTGGTTCTTCCTGCATTCAGTTTGGCCTTTGATAACTAAAAAGAAAAAAAGCTCTTCTTGGTGGAAATTAAGTGACTGAATTGGCCTTTAAAGAACATCCCATTTCTTTGATTTGAGAAACTCCTGGGTTGCTTTTGCAGTTTGGGTCATTATCCACTTGCTCTCTCACTTATGGGTTTGTTTAGGTTCCCAGTCCAATAATAACCTATAATACCTGCGCTGTAATCTCTTTGGGCCTCAAATGTGAAATTCCAATGAAAAGGTATTAATTTTGAGCTTCTGAAACTTGGCAAATATTTTTTTAATGGTTTAATTCCTAAATATTTAATGCAATTTTTGTGTAAAACCCCTTTAAATGAAGTCTGCTCCTCAGCGGCTGTGCACAGAACCAAAACTACAGAAAAACTGTGTGTTGGTCTAACAAATCGTGGATCTCAGGTGTACATGAATGTGCAGACACCGCTCGGGTGCAGGGACACTCTCATCTCCGTCCTCACTCCCTACTGCCTCACTGCGGCCGTTCTCAAACGTACGTGACGTCGTTTCCTCTCTCAAACATGGCGCAGGAGGCAGGTCGTTAATGGCAATCTGAGGGATTTACCCCACCTTCTGTGTTTATTTATGTTTGTCTGTTAGGGGCTCTGCGGCTGACATTACTAAAGGAATTACATCTCTGTTCGAGGAGGCTGCAGCCCCCCTTGGGACCAGGCACACCTCGCTCCAAATTCCGGTGCGACATGTTTGAGGGCAAAAAGACGAAAAACATGTTCCTTACACGAGCTTTGGAAAAGATCCTGGCCGACAAGGAGGTGAAAAAGGCTCACCATTCCCAATTGCGCAAAGCCTGCGAGGTGGCACTAGGTGAGTTGTGTTGTTTTAGCGTCACGTTGTTGCTGTCTTGGACTCATTGATTTAGACACGTCATGCACCCTTTCACTTATTAACCGGTTATCCTGCAACAATGTCGCAGTGTTTGACTAGGCACCGTGTGCTTTTCGTTTATTACACGCTGGCTCTTACTCCGGTCTTATTGCCATGCGTAAGATTTCAGTAAAACCTATGCATTTAATTGACGTGGCACAGGCTCCGTGGAAATGATTCCGTATAAAACACGGAAATGGTGCAGGAGGGGTGGGTGTTTGCAACGCCGAAGCGATGCTGCGAAACTAGTAGCGATGTGTGCACAGGCCGGACATCACAGGGGAAACAAAGTTGTTTAAGGCTGTGTTTCTCTTTAGTCATCACCCTGACATACAAGCACACTCCATATATTCGTCGAGCGTAAACTGTGTTTCTCTAAACTACATGATTTCACCCCATTAAGGTGAGATGTTTGCGTCTCTTCCTGGTACAAAGTGGACGTGCCCCGGTCAGTACAGGAAGGGCTGAAGACTTTTTTAAAAATTATTTTTTTTACATCTGTTATTTATTAACCTTTTTATTCGGGTGGCCTCGTCTTCTCTGTAAAACTAGACAATGAAGTTGACTTGGCGAGAAGCTTGAGGTTGACAGTTGTCAGTAGCACCTTTATGCTAGGAATGGTGTCATTTCTAGGGGTGGAGAGAAGATAATTTCCGGTTAGTACAAAAATAAAATTACAATTAGAAGGATTTATACGAATCAAAAGGGAACATCGTTTAATACAGCCTATTAATGATTAATACGCGTTATAAATTGTACTTTCTGTTCTTATAAACGTGTTTCTTCGCAATAAACCCAAGATTGATCGGCGTGCTATCTAATTAACTGCGCTTTTACTTTGAAATGAACGTCACTGCACGTCTGTTTGACCTTCTACTACAGGCGTGAGCTTCACTAACGTTTGCTAGCAAGTGTGTCTTGGAAAACATGACCTTAGGGGTGATAATTAGTGGTAAATGTAAATTTTGTAAAACATTATTTACAACAAGGAAATTCACCCCGTAAAACATATATTTTTTCTCATGTTGGAGTTAAAATTAGCTCCGTGCAGGGTAGGATTTTTGTTTTTGTTTAGTTTTTTTCCTGGTGAGTAATATGACACAGCTAGAGAAACAAAGAGTCCTGTTGTGAAGCAGCCAAACATCCTACCTGTCCCAACAGTGCTGCCTTTATCAACACGTGCAGCTGCTGAAGGCTTTTGTAGTGGCCTATAGGCAAAATACATGCAGCATATTTGTTTAGACTCTGCTGTGTTGTTTTGTGAAGCTAAACCACCCACATGAATTATATAGCTTTTTGTGCACAGAGCAGTAACATGGTGTTAATTCAGAATAGGAAGCTCTATGTAGCATGGCCTTAAAGCAGGCGTACACAATTTGCATGGTTCTGTTCCTGTTATTAGTAGACAGTCGGTGTTGTTTCTTTATCTGGGGGGCTTAGGGACTTGATCTGGGGATGTCATCAGTTGGTACTGATTGTCTTTTGCTTCTGATTTTCCTGCTTACCTCTAGGGTTTGATTAAAATGTAGACATTACAGCTGTGAGACAGAAACCAAGTATAAACCATGTGTAGTTTACACGGGCTATGCTTATTCATAAACCATTAAAGTCACCATGGTTACTGGCTGGCATAAAACATTTTAGCAGCTACATTTGTTCACTACAATATGTTGTCATTCTGATTTAAAAATCGCTGGTTAACACTGAATCCTACTTAGCAGTCAGTGGCGGTGAATCTTCTTTAAAAAGAAAAAAGAAAACAAAAAATAAAACCCTTTAACTTCCCAGTTAAGCCGTACATGGGCGCTATGAAATACGAATCTCTGCAATAAGTGCAGTTGTAGCTGTGATGCAGTAGTGTATCAAAAACAACTGGGTGACCCAGTATACTGCTTGACTTACATAATCCCCTTTAGCTCTTGGAGCTCTGAGACATCTCTGAGAAAGTGTCTGTGCCACACTCTCCTCTCTGCTGTCACTGAAAGTCTTCCTGTTTCACATGGTCTCTGTTAAATACCCGTTGTTTTCAGCGTTTTCC